GTCTAACTGCCACATCTTATCATGACCGGACAACTTGTCCTCACCGCATATTCCGTTTCGCTCCTGTTGCCTAAGCATCAGGTCAACACAAACTATCTCACTGTTCTTCAGTATTTGAGATTAAAAGTAATTCGTGAGACTCAATCCAAAAGATCGATCAACTGCCGATCTTGAGGGTGTGATGTGGACGAGTTGTCCGGCCTCAGCAAAATGTGGCAGTTGCGGCCTGTGCGCTCGAATGCCGATGTGATCGCGCCATATGACCGCCTCCAATAGGATATGGAAGAATCATCTTGATATAAAATACCTTCAGTAATCATAAACATAAAAAAGCATTCATACAATATCAACTTTTCTCAGCTGTCTAAACCAGAGATTCTATTGTTCGAGAACTCACAGGTTTTTCATTGACGTCCACGAAGTATATACGCATTTGGACTTCAAACTCTCCCCAACCTGTTTCAGTAACTTCGTAGGGAGGCTTCTCACAGACTGAAAAAAATAGTTTTTCCCACCACGGTAATCCATAATCGCCTGTCCAACATTTATTGACAAGACCATTACTAAAAGAACTACTCATAGTCCAGAATTTCGTTTACACGCTGTAGAGTAAAGTTTTTAGAGTTCAACTTTCTCATGAGAACATTTTGGAGTAACTTTAGTGCCTAATGATCAGTAATTTTTGCTCGCACTATTTGCACGATTTACACATTAACTGCAAGTGATATTGTTTGTGCGCACTTACCGGCAAATAAGAAAATGAAAATGGAAAAAATTATTACAAGAAGTTGCAAGCCCTTTGCAACGAACATTCTGGAGGAACACATTGTTTTCACACAAGTAACCAATAGACTTCAGACAGCAACATAATATACACTTTTGTGAAACGCCTCTTCAATTTCTCCATCTTGCAATCCTTTCCAAGGGGTCTATTTTAGCAGTTGTCCAAAAGCAGAGAAAGTTACAGAAGAAAAATATGAAGAAATCAGGTATTCCGAACCCTTGGTAGCAACTCCCATATATAAGTTCGATAACTTCCTGACAGAGCTTCGAAAGATGTGATCGGGTTTTTTTTTCGTTTCCATCGAAAAGCGTCGCCATCCGGCAGGAAGCAGTTAAAAATAGAGCATTTCTTGAGAACTCGCCAACAACGAAGTAGTTCTCCGATTGACAGCCACTGGTGAAGTCGCGTATGATTGACAAGTCTGACTAAGCTGCCGTCCAATTGACAACATATTGGGAAGGTCCCTCCTGTAAGGGCGCAAAAGCACTGAGTATCCGCTGTCTTTGCCGCCCATCCAAATTAGGCACTGGTTTGATTTCAATTCAAAACTTCCTTACGGTAGCCCAGCCGGTTGGATGGCGACCGTTTCTACCAGGGTGAATAACGGTCGAGGATTTCCTCGACCATAGCTCTCTACCATGCGAGAGTAGTGCCGAGAGTGAACATCCGCGCGGAGAGCACAGACGGCACGCCCATGGCGAGTGTGAATGTCCGCGCGAGAGATCGTGTCTGATCGGGCAGAGAATCCTCGACGTGCCGTTGAGGAATCCTCAAGCGATATTCACCCTGGTACTGCACCCAAGCGCGCCGATAATTCGTGAGCACCAGCACTGGGCCTCGCTTTCTAGGCGTTTCGCAGTCTCGTTCCACAGCAGTCGGGCATCCAAAAGAAATTACAAGGATTTTCGCCCATCGCAAGCGCTGTCCACTGCGTAACTTGGACCAATGATGACTTCCTTGAATGCAGCTCAGATACCGCCGACAGCAAACGTCGCAAAATGGTTTCTGCAGGAACCCATGGGAAAAAAAGTTGGCAGATGGCTCCAGTCAACTGGTCATTGTTGCTTATAGATGGAAGTTCATAAACCACCGAAGTGCATTTTCGAAAACCTCAATCCACGGATCTCTTTCACTGAGGG